AGGTCAGAGGGTGAACATTGAAATTCAGGGTCTCAGGAAAAGGAAATCTAGAGCAGGAAGTACTGGCATAATTAGAGTGAGGATTTGAAAAGCCTGGAGCGGAAGATATTTTATTATAATAAATTCACCTTGAAAAGAAAGGACATCATTAAGGTGAAAAAGTTGGTGCCCAAAAATTTAGCCTGTTATAAAAGGGATGAGAATAGAAAACAGAGTGTTGTAAACTTTTGAAAATTTAATTAGGAGTCTCAAATATTTCTCTTCTCCTTCCTCCATTAAACCTCCAAGTCCTGGAGTCACATGGTTGAATCTTAGTTTTCAGCAAAAGGAAAAAAATTCTAGCTGTCATGCCTGCAGAGAAAGCCTTGAACAGTCAAAGCCTAAAAAAAAATAGGATATAAACCCAAACATTAACTTATAGTTTTTAATAAATCTCATTATTTGAATGCAATCTGTCTTGCAGTTCTTAACATAAGATATAGCATTAGTGAAAGCCTAGCATCTGCCTTCTAAGCAGACAGCAGCTAAAGATCCAAAAAAAGATCCCCAGCTGCTATCATAGTCATCATCAGCACATAATGACTGGCATGCTGGAATTGTGGGTAGCTCATTTAAAGCTGTCACATATTCATGCACTCTCTGTTTGACAGATTAACCCCTTCCCTGGGATGCAGGAGCACACTTGGTGCTCCCTCCCCAGCACCCGATCCCGCTGTGCAGGAGAGCACAGAGATGGCTCCAGTAGCAGCTCTCACGGCTGGGAAGGCTCAGGCCACACAGCAAGCCCTCAGTCTGTCACACACGCTGCCTCGTGGAGAAACCCAGACAACTTTCTGTGTGATGTTCCAGCTCCCCGATCAACAGCCCACTATCTGCTGCTTTGGGGAGCAGTATTAAAAATTAAATAAAGATTTCAGGGCCTCTTCCCAGCACTTTTTCAAGCTTCCATGTGCACGAACAAGAAAATAAAGATTCAAGCTGGAATTTTTCCAGACATATGCAGAATAATTACTCTCTGGAAATTCTCTTTATCTTCATCCTTGTGGATTTGAATGCGTCCTTGAGAAATCTTTCCCTCCTTTCATATTCATCAGAAGAGAGAACATAACAGTTACAATCAGCATCCTCCAACCAAGTTGTAGAGGTACCTACCCTACATTTAGTAATTTACCACTTTCCATTGATGCCACAACTGCCATCCATTTCTAACTTCCACTCTCCCAACGGAGTAGATCAGAAACAAATGGCAGATATGCCAGATCAGTCAGAAGGGCTGTTGTAGCTGCCAACAAATCCTTTGGCTGATTCAACCATTTTGTAATCATCTTACATTTCAGTGCACTGACTCTCAGCCAAAAAGCCTTCAGATCTGTGCCTGAGCCCCCACCACAAAAGAGCAAAATCTGAAGACCTGAACTATAATGGTGTTATCAACAGAGCTAGAGAAAGCATCCAAATTCTCACTTCTGTGCTAATAGCCCCACTCTGAAGAGAAATAAAAGCTGGGTTTGGGGGAAGCCAAATGAAGTAGCCCTCAAAATAGATGGAGTATCTATTTATTCCACCGCTTGGGGGAAGTGTAAAGAATGGAAATCTACAATAAAATTTACACATCCTTTCTTGCAGCTTTCACAACTCTCCAGACATACCAGTAAACATTCATAGTCAATCCTATAAGAATCTCTGCAGATTTAAAAAGCTGCATGAACTCTGAATATTCATTCACAAGATACTTCTGAAGACATTTTGTTACACTGTTCCCTTTTAGTAACATAAGATTTAAAAAAGAACTGATGAAATACTTTGTATTTGAGAGATTTCTTACAGAAAGACCTACTAATTCGCTTTCCTCAACATTAATGCCCTCCTGAGAAGCACTGCTTACTCCAAAGAAAGCTACAGTTCTTCCTCATTAGCTTTTATCAGGAAGCAGGTTCAAGTTACAGGTTGTAACCTGCTCAGTTCTGAACACATCCAGAATGTTTCCATCGATGGATGAACAACTGTGAAAACAAGTCCTAGTAATATTAGTGAATTCTGCCTCAGAAAAAAATCACTTTTTAACAGGTATCCTCGGTGAAGAAAATAATGAAGTGACCTATGCAGTGCCTGACAGAACCGGGAACACCAACCACACCTCAGTCTAAAAGACCACATGACCTCTGTTTGTTTAATCCCCATTTTAGAGCCTTACGTGGTGTCTGAAATTCCCTGCCACTCCTGCTGGAGATGCAGTTCCACCACTGCTGCCTTCTGCAGCCAGATGAAATGCAAGCCACGCACGGCACACAGACACACGTGCAGTTTGACTGCTGCTTTATGACCACTACCTAAGCGAATGTGACTTCAAATTTCAGGGATTTCTGGCTGGCAAGGAAACTTTGCCTGTTCACATGAAAGAAGGGCCACTTCCCATTCAAAATAATCTTGTTTCATTTGAGGGAAAAATTAAATGTGTGAATGTTCTATTCCTCCTTAGCTAATAAATACAGGATTGAACCTAATAAACACATCTCTAGGATAAGGGCATCACCCTCTGTTGTTGGGGTTTTTCTTTTGTTTAAATCCACAGGGTTCCTCTTCTCCTCTTTCTCACATACTCAAGATGAGAGAAGCTTCATCGAGCACAGCTACCAGCATTCCAATTTATTCAGCAGCAACCCCTGTGGACTGCTAACAGCAGACTGTGATTCTGTTTGGATTACAAGGTGCAGATAAGTAATTCCATCCTTAATCTATCACTGTCAATGCTGCTAGGGGAACAACTTATACCTGTGAGAAGTCAGGCAGAGGAAAAGATAGATTGGGTACAAAAAAAAATATTGTGGGGTAAAAGGACAGCAGAAATAGAGAGGATACAAATCCATTAAGAGTTCTGTGCACACATGCATGCAGAGGCAGGAAATGAGGGAATGGGATGAAGGAACAGGGTGCTAATATGAAAGCAGCAAGCAGGAAGGAGATATTCAGATTCCAAGCAAAAATTTTCAGTAGCAATGAAAATCTCACTTCCAACATAATCTATGCCTTCCTTTGCAGCGATCCCAGTGTAAAATGCCGGGGATGTTTGTGACCTCAGTGAATGCTGATGGATCCCACCACACTGCAGCCACGATCAGTAAACCTCAAGTACATCATCATGGAGCCTCAAAGCCTTCGCTTGGAGACCTGTCAGTAAACTGGGGCAATATTACAAATAGACAACAAAGGATAATGCAAAGATTGCAAAAATGGAACGATGCAGAGACAAGTGAATTTCTCAGAGGATGGAGTGGAAGGCAGAAAAGATGAAAGAGGAGGCAAGCTATTTAGACATAAGTGATGGAGAACATCAACAGCCCACATCTGTTTTATGTGGTGGAAGATTTGGGGATGGAAAACAGGGAAAGTAATAATGAGACCCGGGATTAATTTTTCTTTTCTCTTTTAAAGGAAAAGTAGTGACTCCATCACTATATTTTACTACAAGTCATCATCTACAATTGAAGTCTGACCACTCAGGCTAGTGAAGTCCCCTTCATGTTTTTATCACATAGATAAAAATGTCCTACCCAATGGTATTTTATGTGCATATAGAAGGCTCCTTTGATTCAGCTATAGGTTCTCATTGATTTTATGTTATTTGCTTGCCTGGCTAGACATGTCACAGGCAATTTATCCCAGGAAAGGTGAAAGAGCTGCCTTCTAAGCAGTCACATTAAAATAAAATGTTGACATTAAAATATAACTTGGAAAACTTTATTTTTGACCCTTGGAATGTCCAGTGTTATAACCCAAATACAGATGCATTATTGATTATTCTGTTCTTCCCAACCTTACTCACAGCTTCCCGCAGTAAGCATATTCTGTGTTCCAGAATAAACAACCCAAAGTGCAGCCAAGAAAAGTTAATCCATACCCTAAAAAAGGTATGGATTGCTATTAATGGAATGTTTTTTGGTGGCACAGATCTTTCAAAGAAGCTGCAAGGAGGGGAAAACCCAGGAAATTTTATGGTCCTCTTTTCCGACTCCTACCCAAATCCACTCACTTGGACTGCTTAAGGAAGACAAAAAATCAGTTCAAAGAATAAATTAAGGCACAGAAATAGTTTAATAGTAGCCAAGGGAGAGCTTTGTAGAAATATTTTTAAAATATAAAAAAACAAAGAAATTAACCCACTGCAGAGTGAAAGGATACAAAAATTAACAAGGGGGGAGAGAGGGGGCGGGGGCGCGAAGGAGAAAGCAGCTAAGAAATCAGCAAGCAAGAGAACTTTCTCCGTGAGTAAGTTCAACACTGCCAAACACAAGGAAAAGTGTGCACTGAAGCAAAGGAGAGCGGATCAGCTGCTGCCCGGTCAGGGAAGGAGCGCAGCTCCGCTCCCACAGGGCGACAGCGGCCTCACAAGCGGCCTGTTCCCGCCGCGCTGACCCGGCTTCGTGGCGGACTTTGAAGCCGCCGCAGCAAAGCTCGGGTCCAGGGCAGCTCCGCTCCTGCCCGAGCCTTGAGGGAAGCGTGACGCGAATGCCGGGCCCGGCGCGAGGGACGCGCAGGCCGCGGCAGGGCCACGCTCCCGCCGTGCGCATGCACAGCAAGGCACACGGAGCCGGGGCCCTTCCGCACGGAACATCGCGTTCCGCGGGCTCACAGGCAGGAAGTGGAGGCTTCTCCCCCCGCTCGCCTCTTCCCGCCTAGGGGCTGCCACAGCTCCTTGCCCGTAACTTTTATCATTTTCTGTCGTACCCCCAGAGGGTCATTTCAGCCCCGTGGTGAAGGCCCCTGTGTTCTACCCAATAACAAGCCGGCTTTCGATGACGTCCTTAGTTGCCAGGCAGAATTCCCCTTTGCGTCTCCCGTACGGCCGCGACGCCACCGGGAGGGGCGGGGCGCCTGTTTTGATTGACAGCACGATTAGTGGGCGGGGAGAAACGAGAAACCCAATAATAACTGTGGGTGACCTTGATGAACAGGGCCCGCAGCCAATAGGGACGGGCGGGCGGTCACTCGGTTGCCAGGGCCACGCGGTTGCCAAGGCCTTGGCTCACCGCGGTGGCGGTGCCGCCGCCGCCGTCCGGGCGCGGGCCGGCGCGATGGTGAAGCTCGCTGCCAAGTGCCTGCTGGCAGGTGAGTCCGGCCCGCCCGCTCCCATCCGCCCCGCTGCCCACACGGGACTAGAGCGGGCGCCGCGGGGTCGGGAGAGGCCGGCAGCGCAGGGGGCCCGGCTTCCCACAGCCCCTCGTGCCGGGGCCGCCCCGCCGGAGAAGAGGTGGGGAGAGAGGCGGTGGGAGAGAAGGGAGACCTCGGCTGCCTGGGGACGGGAGCAGCGGAGGTCGTGTGTGTTATTAGCACTCGGAACCCGCCCTCGCCTAGCACGTGGAGTCGAGCAGTGCCCAGGGAGGGTGTGAGGTGCAGTTGGATCGGATGAAATGCGAGGACAGGATCTGAGAAAGAGGAAAAAAACCAAACCCAAACCAAAAAGAGTATTTCGGCAGTGTGGAAAGGTGGGCACAGAGACTGGAGAAAGCGTGAAGGGAGCAGGCTAGGCAGCTGAGTCCTGCCTCGTTTGTGAGCCTTGCTTTGGGCTGATGTGAAAAGTTCATGTTAGAAATTAGGATGATTCTGAGAGTATGATAGAAAGGTAAAGCCTAGATAAAGAGTAGAAGGATGAGCACTTCACAGTGGCATCCTTTCCCCAAAACAATTTAGAGGCTAACCTGAGAAAAAAATGAGGTGAAGACACCACTTAATTTAGTCAGGATGGATTATGGAGGTGTTGAAAATGAGTACAGCTGGCTGTTAGAACTTTGTGAAAAATCTTTTCATTTTTTCCCCTCCTTCTACATTGAAGCTCTGTGCAGCCTCAGCCAAAAGCACAAATCAATAAAACCTTTGTGTGCAGTCAGCTCCCAGGTTTAACTCTTTGTTCCAAATTATTTCATCCGGAATAAAATGTTTGCCTTTTTTAACCTCAGAAGCAGCTGGCCATCAACTCACACAAAGCCAGATGTGGTCTTTGGCAAAGGCAAAAGAATTGCTCTCCCTTGTGGCTCTACTGCTGTGAACAGCATGACTATCTTACCTATCTTCTACACTTGAAACATAGGCATCATTTCCAATTTGGAAGTTTCCTGCTCCCAGTATACTGGCTTTGCTGAAGTCTATCCAGTTTTGTTGTTTAGTGTTACCAAAGGCCAATTCCACAACCATTTTAAAATCACATAGGTTTTCTTTAGATGACCTGTTTATGTCCTTAATCCTTATTGGGTCTGGAGTGGCCTTTTCAATTCTGTTCCCAGCACAAAGAACAGGAATGTCCTATCCCATATGTCATTCTTCTATGCACCACAATAATATCCATGTATTATTAAAAATAATAAATTAGTGAAGCAGACCAGGAAAAATAGATTTTCTGTTGCAGAAAAAGCCACTAAAGTGAAAGGGACCAAGGACATGAGTAACCACAACAACCTAAAGGGAACAAGAACATGCAATTACATAAATAGGAGCAAACCCATCAGAAATGGCACTGGGAACTCTTGTGGACCTAAGGAAATGGTTATGAAGAGCCAGTGACACAGAAGTGGGAGCTACACCAAGGTCAAAAAGAACAGGGGAAAAGGGCTCTTATTAGCAAAACAGACTATTGAATTGACAATAGAAGATGATTCCTGTGTTAGCTCAAGGGTCATTTACAGGCATAAAGTAAAAAGATCTGTTGTCTGAGCTTACTATGGAGACACTACACAAAGGTTTTCATTGTAGAGAAACAGCTGGCAGTAGCAGGCATTTTTGAAAGACTCTACAGATTCTGGCAGAATAACAGAAATATGGATAGAATATATACTGTGAGATGCCCTACTGGCACACCAGACTAAACTGAAAAGGGCAAGGAAATTTACTTTGAGGAAGTCTACTGGTGTGATGGGCTTAAGAGGATGGCAAAGAGTAAAGAGGGAAAGAACGCCCGGGGCTGTCAAGTGAAAGAAAGGCAATGCATTAGTTAAGAATTTGTGCTGGCTGATGCCTGCACAGTTTGGAGCAATGTGTGCCTCTCTATCTCATTTTACAAAGACAGATCTAATTGTCTATTGAAATACAGAATAGCTTCCACTCAGAACAGAGTGTTGTCTTCCGCACAGGCTTGAACTGATCAGAGAACAAACAAGCTGACTTACCAGATTTTCCTGTCTAAATATTATGAGCCCAACTCAGCTCAAAGTAAGCAAGCATGCTAAAAATGTTTAAACAAGAACTACATTTGGTTAATGCATCTAGGGGTAATTGTCACTATCCAAAACACCCTTCCTCCTCTGTAATAGTGAGCAGAGGGCTTAATCAATTTCCTTCAAAACACCATTAGGAAGCTGTAATGGAGTCAAAAATATGCCCCTTTCTTGGTTTATTTATTAACAACTTAATGTAAAATACTTCCTTTCTGGCTTTATTTATTAACAACATAATGTGAAAGACTTGTATTCCAGGCTTGGCTGTTATGAGTGTGCCTTTGAGGGTAAAGCTTGAAGCACTGAGGTTTTTAATTACTGGTTCTTGTCCTTTTAACTATCCAGGCTAACGAGACATTATGTGGAGAAGTTATAAGCTCTTTGGAAGCATTAAGTCTTTGTTTAGGAAGGGTTATGATTTATCATCTTTTTCATGTAGTGATATGGGCATATGTGAGTTCTGCATAGCCTGAGGAAATGGCCTGAAGTTGTGTCAGAGGAGGTTTAGGTTGGATGTTAGAAAAAGGTTCTTCACCCAGAGGGTGATTGGGCTCTGTAACATCTCCCCAGGGAAGGGTCACAGCACTAAGCCTGACAGAGTTGAAAAAGCATTTGGGCAATATTCTTGAGAGTCACATGGTGTGACTCTTGAGGATGGTCCTGTGCAGGGCCAGGAGTTGGACCCAGTGATCCTTGTGGGTCCCTTCCAACTCAGCATAATCTGTTCTGTGATCCTGTGATTGCTTTGGATCTCAGAGTTTTGTAAGAGCAAGCCAAAGCAGGCAGCTGTCAGGTTTGCCTGGAGTGTTGTGCAAGCTATATCAGAAAGCCTTGGCTCTAGAAGAGCAAAAACCAAAGCCCCTTGCTTTTCCTTCCATACAGGGATGAATCAGCAGGCTCTTCTCTCCAGCCATGTGCTTTCTCTCTGACGTTTGCTTCTGTTATGCCCAGGATGCGACTAATGAGCCACCAGCAGCATTGAGTCAGCAAGAGTTGCTCTCTTAGCAGGGTCAGCAAGAAGAGTTCATTGAGAAATGTTACCAGCTTAAGCAGCTTTGTCTCAGTATATAACAAGGATTTGAGTCTGGGGAGATGGGTAACCTAAGGACAAGAAATAGCCTCCTAGGAAGCCCAGTCCCTTTTCACATTGTAGTTTTCTCTACATGATAACATATCTGGGAAATTTTAATTCCTAGGTAAGGGCTGTGGAGTAGGCATGAATTTTAGAACAAACAGCAGTTCCACCTTAATGTGGCAGTCATTTGTTGTTGTGCATAGATCAGAAATCAGATGTCAGCCACCAGTATGCATAATGGCAATATTCATTTCCTTGTGTGGGTATTACCTTTGAGATGGTTTTGTGCTTCATGTGACAGTTAAATTACCTGTATTCAGAGTCAGAGCACCTGGGCTCTTACAACATTCATAGTATCAGAACTGAGGAAAAATTCTCTAGTATGAAACAAAACAACAAGATTCTCTAGTATGAAACAAAAATATTTTATGTTTTTGGTTTTGCAGGTGATCCAGCTGTGGGTAAGAGTGCTTTAGCCCAGATGTTTCGCAGTGATGGGGCTCATTTTCAGAAGAACTACACACTGGTAAGCATACAACAGGCTTAGACTGCTGTCTAAATTTTTTCTAAGATGAGTGGGAAAACTGAGAGGCCTAGAACAAAATAAATATTATTTTAAGTTGAGGCATTCAAGGTGGGATCTTAGAGGGTTTTCTTTCTTGCACCCTAGATTCTGAAGAGAAAGAGCTTAACATTCTGTAAGTCTGCATTATGTAGGTGCTGGTGTTGAAACTTAAGGCAGAATAATTTAGTTAATCTTGTGATTTTCCTATTGAACCAATGTTTTCACAAGGTTTTGTGGTGTTAGAGAGCTTCCCCCTTTAGGGACTACTCTATGAAAAAGCACTGCTGAAGGAGAAAGCTTTTAATTCCAACTATTAAATGTGGATGTGGACAGTGCGCTTATCACTGTGCAAACACCAAGATGTGCCGCATAGCCCCAAGATAATTATAATCTACAGAAACTGTTCCCAGATGAAGAGGATACAGTTTGCAGTCTTTCAGTGTAAGAATCAATGATGATGACTAATCAGAAGCAGGATAAAAATAAAAGTAAATATAAGTAAAGTAAAAAAAGGAAAATATGAGTGTGGAGGAAAAAAACCCCTAAAATATGTTTATTCATTGAAATAAAGATGGAAACCAGAATTTAAGGATAGAAATAGAACAAACAAATGAGCTACAAAGCAGAATGAGATAAAAGGTGGGAGAAGCACAAATAATCTCAGTCCCATATGTTAGCTCATCACATGGTTAGTGCAGAACGTTCTAAGGCGTGCGTTAGAGCAGCAGTGTGAGAATGAGCGTAGACCTGCAGACTTCAGCTAATACTCTGAGCTGTAAATAAGCAAATCTCCTTGGTTCTCCTCCTTTTTCTCCCAGCTGAGCAAATCTATGAGCCTTTGACATATTGGTGAGATTAGGTTACCAGAGCTAGGAGGAGTATTGCTGAGTATCCAGCGGTCTATGTTTGATGAAATTGTAATGATTCACAAGAATTGCCTCAATCCAATGCACGGTTGGTATGCAGTTGGACAGGCTCTTAAAAACTCTCCTGATCCTCATTTTCCTGATTCTTCTTGACAGACAGCGGGCATAGAATTGTTGGTGAAGGCTGTATCAGTTCCAGAGACAAATGATAGTGTGGTGAGTTTTTCTGTGACACAAATTTGGTCAGAAAGAGACATCCAGAGCTCAAGCCCCACACAAGTCTCATTCTGGTAGAAGATCACTATGCATGTTCATAGGGCAATTAAGTTGCATTAAGGAAATGAGGCTGATCATGTGTAATTGCTGATGCTCCAGGGTTAGTTTGGTCTTAAAAGTGTAATTTTTATATACTTGTATCCAACACAAAATTTTAAACCAAAGTTATTGCCAGCTTTGTTGAGATTTCTGTTCTGTCCTTTAGGGCACTCAGGTTTAGTTCATGATTCTTGGAACTACAAAAGCCGCAGCTTATCTGTTATTTTTCCTTAATGCCCTATACTCCCACGAATGGAATGTATATGATTTTGTATAAATACTAGAAGTTACTGTCCCACTTAACATATTCTGTTTCCAGTAGGGATAGAAACTAGACTTGGGGCCTTGGAAGTAACTCTTTTACTGCTTATACTTGAAAAATGGCTATTTATTTTCTCATGCTATCTGGAGTTTTCTCAGTGCGGGGAATTTGTCCCTTAGGGACATGACACTGCTGTCCTGAATAAAATGTTGGAGTTACAAGTTGCAGTATTTACTTCCAAAACCTTTCCCTACACTGCATTTTTCTTGGCAAGAGCCTTCTTTCTGTTTCCGCTTTCAGGAATTCTTCATTTTTGACTCTGCAGGAAAAGATCTATTTTCTGAAATGCTGGAGAAACTGGTAAGTCTTATGTAACAGTCCTCTTCTTCCAAAGAAGTGCTTTTGCTTTGAAGATCTGAGCTCCCCAGTCTGGCAGATGTAGCAAACTTTGTCTTTAGTGTAAATGGGAGCAATTACCTCAGTTGCCAACGCATCCTGTTCTACCTCTCTAAAACTTGCATAAGTACTAGAAGAAATACTTTCCAGAGAAAGGAAAGCAGAGAGGCAGTTTTCTTACAAAAGAAATAGGAAACTTTAATGGAGAATTTCTGTGTACTGTTTTTTAAAGTTATTTTTATTTCTTAGAAAAACATCTGTTTTGCTGCGACTTCAACAGTGGGAGGTTTTTTTTGTGTTACAGTGATGTGTTTAGTCCAACAGGATTCATTCTTGTCCTTGAGCATAATCCTGCCCTTGGGTTTTTTCCTTCACATATTTGTGACCTTCCCTATACAGTTCTCTACTGTGTTATCTCATTTTGAGAAGCAGAACAAGTTAATTGATGTAAGCTTTCGTAAGATGGCTAAGTCAACCTAATGGTTCATTGTCTACAAAAGCGATTCCACTTTTACACTTGCACTAGATCTGGTTTGCAAGGGTCTTCCCTAGAAGCTGGCTCAGCTTCTCAAACTGGAAGAAAACCTTTCTACTTTTTTCCTAGGATTAATTTTGTGCTGATTCAGCATGAAAAATCAGCTTCCCCAGGGATCAGATGAGTGCCAGAGCTGATACAAGGGGCAGGGCTGCACAGACAGGACTGGGGAGGAAAGCAAAACCACCTCTCCCAATGTCAGTGATTTAGTTGGGTCAATTGAAATGTGAAACTTCAGGCAGGGCATAGGATTCCTGGGTGTTAGGCTTTTTATTTTCATCTTAGCAGCTGTGTTTGCTACGTTTACATCATGGCTGTTGACCACATCAGTTTCATTAGAGGTGACAGTGTTCCTTTCTTGCTGTGCAGTGGGAGCAACCCAACGTCCTGTGCCTTGTGTATGATGTCACTAGTGAGCAATCTTTCAACAACTGTAACAAATGGTTGGAGAAGCTGAGGGCTCAAGCAGTTGGGATGTACATCCCAGGTAAGAATGTGTGATTCTTGTTATCTACTCCCCTCTTGTATGATAGCCGTTGTTTCTGCTGAGCTGTGGAATAGAGCATTTATTTTAAGTTGGGGCAGACATGGCTTCCTCCAACTCCTTTGCTTTTATCAAGAAACAGATAAGGCTTGAATATGTTTCCTTTTTGGAATCTTTTTTAGGTAGTTATAGACTATTTGCCACGCCTACAACTTCTTCAGTTACTTCTACAAATATTCCAGTATTTATGGCTTACAAGTCAGCATTGATGAGCTGGGGTTTTTTTCTTTCCTTCCATGTCTTTTTTCCTGTAGGTGTCTTAGTGGGAAATAAAACAGACCTAGCTGATCGTCGAGTTGTGGAGCAGGAACAAGCACAGGAGTGGGCTGAGAAACATGGCCTGGAATACTGTGAGATGTCAGTGGTGAGTATCTGCTCCTTTCACCATCTGTGCAAGGGGGTGTTGGTAAAGTTATCTTCTCTTTCAGGCAGAGAAAGATAACTGGGGACTCTCTTCACCTTGTTTGTCATCTAACTCAGTTTTAATCCTTCTTTGGTGAAATAGAGCAGAAATAGTCAAATGCTTATTCCATCTGCAATTGACAATTTTCTTATTTCTTTACAGAAGGAAATGAAAAATTTTGAGGCCCCTTTCCACATCCTGGCAAAGTTATTCCACCAACTGTACAAAGAGAAAGTGGAAACTTTTCACTCACTAGCCTGACTGGTATGATTTATTTATCCTCTAAGCTTCTTCTAGTACTGAGAGTCCCACTGGACTGAATACAGAGAGAAGAAAAAATATGAGCTATTTGCTACTTCATGGTCATCCTCTGGTAATTCAAAATAAACTAGAAATAGGCAAGTAGAAAGACACTCTTTAAAGCTGCTACCTCAGCATTCCTTTCATGTCCTCTAACTTGGTTCTCTGCTCATTGAAAGTCTGCTAGGTTGGAGGAGGCGGAGAGTAAAAGGGGAGGACAGAATGGAAATTGCCAGCTCTTTACTTTAATATCTTTTTGTCTGAACAGACTTCCTGCTGCTACAAGCAGGGATTTAGAGGTTTGGAAAAGGAGAGAGGAAGCTGACAGGATGTTTTTCGACTTAAGCCAGCCTTGATGCATATACTGCAGGGCAGGACCGATTTGGCCCTACCCCTTGAAAAGTATTTTCAGGAGGAGGCTTATTGCCTTAAAATCAACCCCTAGAAACTGAGATGTGTGGAGGCAGAGATGGATTTCGGTGTGTTTCCAGGAGCACGCAGAGTTGGAGGCCAGTTTTAGCAGTGTTGCCTTTATCAGTTGTAGGATTGATATGCTGGTGACTAATGCATGTTTCTAATTTCCAGAATCTGTTTCTTTCCTTCGGCGTGGCTCGCTGTCCCTGCCTGGTGGGAGCTGTGTCGCGTCCAACCGCTGTCACTTGGTGACGCAGTGCCCTCTGCTGGTCCCAGGTCACAGGAGTTCTCCAGAGGCTGCCACCTCCCTTGAAGTGAGCAGGAAGGGCTTCCTGCAGGCACATCCAAACTGGCGTAGCTGCAAAATGGAGTGAAATTGCAAGAATACCTTTTCTATTCTAAAGATGAATCTAAAACTTACAAAAAATTACCTTTTCTTCTTCATGTCTTTATCATCTTACATATTGTTGTGTCATTTTTGTCAGCTGAATTTGGCAATACTGTTCTGATTAGGTTCAGCTCTCAATCTCAAAATCAGAGTCCTCTTATTAAAGTCTCTCTGCTTGTCATTGAATTTCAGATAAAAGACCACGGTTCTGATGTTGCTAGTGGAAACAGAACTAAGGAAATGAAAGACAGCCTGGCTAAGTTACTCTGACTCAGCTGTGTCTGGCTAGAAGTTTCATATTAGAAAGGGTAAAAGCCTAGAGAGAGTTGCTCTATTGTGTGGAGTACTGATGTTCCATGTGTAGAGTCTTTGGTAATGCAGTATGCAAAAGCATCTGTGGTAAGGCACTGCCTTGAACTGAGCCTAACACCAAGAGTTTCAAAAATTTAACCATTATCTTCCCGATTATGGTAGACTCCCTTGGGCAAGGGAAGCTGAGTTTTGTAAAGACTGAGCACTGAGTGATTTTTCAGGCAGCCTTTTCAGGAATCTGTGTTTCAAGACTTCTAAATGTGTGGTTTATAATCATTTTTATACCCAGTGCTAGGAAAAGTGCATTAAATTGAACGTAAGAAATATGGCTGCAGATGTTGTAGCAGACTTTATGAAGCACTTCAATAATCTGGAGAAGCAGTGGCCTCATTTCACTGGCAACAGTGTGTTGATGCTGAGAACTCACTAGGGAGCATGAATACCAGTTAAAGAGGATGAGTAGCAGCTCAATCTATAAGAAGTAAAAACAAGAGGTTCTTTTGCTAAAAGCCAACTCAAAAATGACAGAACAAGCTGGGAAAGCTCCTGCTTTCTCCAAAGAAGGAAGGAGTCCTCTATGGACTTAGAGTAACTAGAAGACTCACTCTTTTTCAACCGGATTAGCATTACTGGCATTTGTATCTAGCACGGGTTTTCTTGTTAATCCTGGGTGTTTTCTGTTGATTTACATAGGCCTTATAGACTCTTCTTTGCAGGTGCTGGTATCTGCACCTTTTATTCTTACTCTGACTAGTAAGAATAAAAGCTATTTTGGATGCTGTGCTGATCCAGTTAAAGAACTAAAGAAGCTTTGTTTTTATTTGGTATTTCATTTCCCTCTGGTTCTATTGACAATGTGATCACAAAACAAGACTCGTATTTTTTCATATTGAAAATAACATACCAGCTGTGTATGTCACCTGTGACCTGGTGTGTCTAGGGGGAAGAATGCCTTGGGAATAGGTAATAAAATGAATTCTGTGCAATCTTTAACCAGGGAATCTGTCTCTCTGCACATGAAGGACCTCCCATAACTTCAAATAAACACTCTAAATGTACCTGTAAGATGAAGATTGGTGAATGCTGTTTTATAAAATAAATGCAAAGGCTGGAGGAGCTCATTAAGGGAATGCTTGCAGTGGTGATTTGTGATTTATAGGGAAGCTGCTTTTGAGAAGTTAGTGAAGAAAAATGCAGCCCATGCAGGGAAAGATGTATTGCCTGAGAGAGGAAATGTATGATCTAATTAGCTAACAGTAGGGATTCACCCACTGCCCCTTTCCCTCTTCCACAGGCCACAACCACAATTAGAAAAGAAGTCATGTCTAAAGCATGTTGTCCAACTTGCTTTTTACAGGACTGTTTCAAGCACTAGTGTGGACACAGTTTAATGTCCTTCAAAATAGTGTGTTTGACAATAACCATCTCAACCCTTTCACATCTATTTTAACAGCGTAATATATTGTCCTTCCTGGCTAATGTGCTGTATAATTCCATCCTGATGCAAGTAGTGGTTGTTGCTATTTTCCTGGCTTAATTGTGACCTTGGTTGTAGAGGCTAGGAGTGAAGAGGGGGTAGAAAGCATGGAAGCCAAACATGGGAAGATTGTGGGAAATAGTTTTGTCTCCATGTGAAGGAGTTCAGGGTGGTGAGTAAGTGAGCTGGACCAGCAGGATGAGTAACAGTCTGGAGCTGTTATTAAGTTTCTCCTACCTGTTTACTGGCAGTCACATCTGTAGAGTGAGGATTTGTGTTTGCTGCTTATAGGCTTAGCATCAGTCTGAATTACAGATGCTGTGGAGAACAGTGGGAGGAAGACAGAAAGCCTGTCTGCTGACCAGGAAGCTTGTTGTCTTCTTACAGCTCCCCTGCTTTGTCCAGCTGTGCAGTGCTGCAGGTGCTCAGCATGAGTGTTACAACACAGAAAAGACTCAGCTCAACCAGGACTGAAATTTCAAAAGAAGGAGAAGGAAACAAACAATCCTTTAACTGGTTTTAATAGATACGTAGTCCATTTTCCTGCTTGCTTGTTTGATTAGACAAAACCATTTCTTTCCTCCCTGGAGTCCCTCCTTCTTACCTTTTCTTTGGTCCCCATGGGTCTGCACAGAATCTCTGTTATACTTGTGCCCTGCTTTACTTAGCTTGATACATCACCAGCTAATTTTTTTTTATCCTTCTAATTTCTGCATTATCTATTCCCAAGGCTGCAAGACATTTCTTCTTAGATTAATAGACAAAAGGAAACAAAAGTGGAATTTTTAGTCAAATTGTCTTGGAAGAAAAAGCCTTAAGAAGCTGTCTGACATTCTGAAATTTTACTGGAAATTCATTTGTGTAAAGTTGTCATATAAAAGATGCTTTAATGGTTTTGTTTTGTCTTGCCAGACATAGTCTACTGTGGAGTGAAATTCAGGATGTAAAATTCCAGAAAGATCAGGTTTTATTGTGGGAATTAATAGGAGTTTCAAAGCTGATGACACTGTGATAAGATCTCTTAAGTCTTAACAATGGAGTGGTCACTGCTGTTCATAATGAAGCATTAAATATACTGAAATGGGGCTGTCAAAACAGTTTCTTCTAGAGATTTGTTCATTTTAAAGACTTTAAACTTAAGAAAGGACATCTTTTAAAAGACTGATCTGATAAATGACACCATTTGGATCAGGGTTATTTCTGATAAAACTTCAGTGACTTGAAGAGCTGGATTTAGTCTTTTATGCCAATTGACTCCCCTGGGTAAGCTTCATTTCTTTACCCACTATACATCTTGGACCGATCTGACCTGATAGCAAAAGACACATGATGTTGTTGAAAATGAAATACTGCCTTGGGGCAGAAGGATAAACTGTGTGGCCTCCTGAGGTCCTCCCAGCAATACTTCCTATAATTCTATTAGATTAAGTGAGGAAAGAAGTAGCGTGGAAAGCACAAAACAGGCTAAGTCATAAACTAGCAATTAAACTGGGAGCTGGGCAGAAAACGTACAATCTATCCCAATTAAGAGCTGTATCTCAAGAGAAGCTGGGAGCCTGACGCAGGTGCTGACAGCAGGGAAAACTCTGCATTTCTGTTCTGGAGGCAGCAACTGCTTTCTGCTGCTGCTTGTGCAGATCTGTGGGGGTCCTTACGCAACTCAAGGCTGTGCTCTGTTTTAATAATTACTGTATCTCTCATGTTCAGGTGGCAGTTGCTTGCAGTTGTGGTCTCATCTGCCTACACGAAGTCAGCAGCATCACGTCAGATTATTTGCTGGTGGCAGGAAGACATCCCTATTATTGACACCTGCATGATGGGACCACTCTCTCCCCATGCATTCTCAGTCCTTTTCCTATCTCATATCTGCTCCTTTGTGGACAGTATCCACCTCTACTTGCTCTTAACAAGTAATTTTTCCATCTTGCAGATGAGACTCTGTGGAACCTAGGGCTGAGGGACATCTCAAAGGTGGAGTCAGAGCAGGAGCACTTCAAGGGCCATGTTGGCCTCCACAACATCCCTTTTGGCCTAGGGGCACATCATCTCTCTACTCCTTGTGTCCTATTTCCTCCTCCTGCTGTCATTTTGCCTGGAGAATGATGTCTTATGTGCCAGTTGCCCTTGGTTCTGTTGACCCAGAACAACAATGCTTGGGGGAGGGAGGAAGAAGAGAGCTAGACTCAGTCTTGAGTCTTTTCAGGGCTCTTTAGCTGTTGTGACTCCCTGTGGAAGTCACCTGAGAGATGGGAATGTTGCTCGGTCTGGGGTGTAATTTCCTGGCAGGAGACCACTAACAGAATCCTGGCAGCCTCATCTGGGCTCTTCAGAGCTTGCTGCAGTGTAACTTTGTCAGACACTGGCTGTTCTCCTCCTAACCTGAGGTTTTGGTGGGAATTTTTGGTAGGGTTTTTTTACTTCTTGGAGGTCTTTCATTTATCTGTCATGTCTTCACGTATTTCCTCCCCTAGAGTTGTTTGTCAAAAGAAGCCTAGAATTGCTCCCTTTCCTGGTTTCTGAGATTTAATCTGGAAATGTTTAAAAGGGAAATGTGACAGAACCTACATGTCAAGCTGGGGTCAGGGATGGGGTCAGTTTGATGAGCTTCCCTCCAGCCAGATATACATCAGTTGGAGATACGTGGAGCCTGTGATCTTTCTGCACAAGTACTAGAAAAATAGCCAATATAAGGGCTGCCAGTTAGGGACTGTGAGGAAAAGGATATAAAGGCAGAAGTATCGACTTCTGTGTCCCAGACAGGGGAAAATGCAGGAGCACTAGGGGAACAGAAATATGTAGGAAATACGTAGGGCTGTATTCCTTCATGAAGAGCCCAAAGGATTTGCTGAGGCAGATTGGGAGGGTGGGATTTAAGGATGTGAAAACCTGAGGCTTTTCCTGTCTTTTAGAATGCTGTATGGAAATAAAGTGGGAGGGAAAGTAATTTTTGCATGAGCCACTGAGGGAAAATGAGGATACAGGGTACAGCTGGATGACCTTGCAGGTGGAAGGGCAAGTGATAAGAATAAATTACTGAAAGGAGATTTTCCAGGCCAAGCTCTCAGGGCCAAGGGCAGACATGGGGGATTCAGAGCCATGATGAGGAAGGCTACTGGTAGCCATCAGATTAGGTTTAAGATGTAGGGCCTGCATTAGAACAAGGCAGGAAGAGTTAAAGTCTGTGAGACAGGGTTGACGCTGGAATTTGAAAGGGCAGTAGCAAAAATCCAGAATGGTAAACCTAGGAATAGTGTGGGGAGATAAGCACAGCAAGCTGTGATGCTGTGAGCAGCAGTGGCTGGAGACAGCTACCTAGGCGAGACCAGAAAACATAGAGTAGGTATGCTGAGGGCACTATCAGACTATCAGGGTGGAAGAGTGTGAAGAGGTGTTGGAAATTCATATTTGAGTACAGCTCTTCTGAGGGAATTTCTGAGTGAAGGGAAATAGATATCTACAACTGGTACCCACACATCTTCATAAACACATTTTAAACACCAAATAATTCCAATGCTATATACGCAATCTCTATTTTCCTTTGCCAAAAATTATCATGACCTTTCTGCTTAAACCCTTTTTTTGTTTTTTGGTGAGGGGGAGGGGGAAAGTGGACAACAACACATACATTTATGCCTAATTGTGATGCTGCATCATGAATACATTCAGGAAATGGAAAGAGAACCTGTACCTCCACCACAGCAGGCAGAAATGCCTGCTACTACTTGAGCATTGATATCACAACAGAAACTTCACAATCAGTTCATACAGCAAAAGGGATGGAAGGGGTATTTTCTGTGTTGGTTTCCCTTCTCTGCTTTTGCTAATTCATTTTGATTCCTGTGAAGCATTGCTCTCTCTTAGTCTAACAGTTACGTGTGGCCATTGTGGGCCAGTTATAGGACTTTATTTTGTGATGGTGGGTGGCTTCTGTTTGAGGACTGTAAAACTGAAAGTGTTGAGATTCAGGTTACAGTTGAAGCATCAAGCATAAAATCAGCTTGTAGGCACAGAAGAACAGAGTATCTAGGAAAGATGTCTTGCAGGGTTAAGATAATGCTTTTCAGTGCTGTTGTCAGCAAAGAGAGGCTGCAATGAATGTGAAAACGTTAGGAAGGAATTCTGGTGGGTTTGTAAAGGGTAAGAAGTACAGGTTTCTTCTAACAGGTAAATGCAGAGGAAAGGATGCTACAAGTCACTGGATGGAGGTATCTGGTGAGGTAGTAGAGGAGGTAAAGGAACATTCTTGGGCAGTATTATGGAACTGGATAAGAGCAGGAGGATGGTTCTTGTATGAGCAAAAGCAAAGTAATGCAAACCCTGCTCTCTGGTTTCTGTCCCTTTTGAGGTATGGAGCTATTTCCCTTCAGCAGAGTATGTCATTGCTCTTGATGACCCTCACAGCTAAGATTGCCAGTAGGTTGGCTTTCCCTCTTCACTGAGATAAAAGTGATCCCTGAATGCCATCTTGGTCCACAGCTGTTTTGATACCTGATTCCTTTCCCTGTCCATGTTTTTCCTCCTGTCTCTGCATGTGGAGGTCTTATATGTCCCCACAATTCTGCTACACTTCCCATGACACCAGCCCTCCCCATGACCTTAACACTGCTTATTTCCTCCCATGAACTTTGCTTTCCAGGATTAGAAGCTGTGGTC